CAGTGGTAAATGATAAATTGCTTATATCAGTGATAAGGGTAAATAAAAACTGTCCAATTTTTCGCGATAGTTTTCGATAATGAGAGCTTCGTACCAGAACCTGCTATTCGCGATTTACGCTGTGATAAATGTTCACAAAAGGCTTGCCATAGAAAATACCAAGGTATTACCCTATGTCTACCGTGACACCATGAGTTACGAACATACTGTATATCAAAAGATTCGTCTCATCAAGCTGAAGCCAAATCTTTAGCAGATGACACACAAAATTGTTTTAGAAGAAGTTATAACTATTAGGTCATTCGGAAAGTTTTTTCGTTTTTGCACCTTTAAATTCAAACGAGCACAACTTTTTCCAGATCCCATTTCATTGTGTTCAGCAGAATTCCGTTAACATTATTGTGGTGTTCATGTGCTTTTTTCTTGCGAAATCATCTCAAAGGAATCAATTTAATCTAGAAAGGCATTTTTGACAAGCTAATATACGCTCCTATTATTTTTCAGTAGGCACCGAGGAATTGGAGAATTTGGTGGCTGGTAAAGGAAGGCCCAAAGAGTTCGAGAAATGAACAGGAACCTCGGTGCGCAGTCAACCCTTTTTGTGAGGGCCACTTTTCTTACATGTGGTTTGACGGCGTCAGGGCGAGGATGGCAGCTTTCATAGATTGTGCGTGCATGCTCAGTTTTGAAATTTTGACAAACGGTTTCTAAAGCGGTATCATACTACTCTGCTTTTACACCACAATAACATCTTAGCAAATTTATAGCGTGCAAGACTAGCAGGATTACGTTGAGTACATCAACCTTTTGTAATGACTTACTGTTCATGCTCATGCTTGCCCTGCTTGTTCCAAATGATTTACCACATTGTTGCTTCTTTTAGCTGTATTTGGGAAATTTTTTGTTGTAATTATCAATTCAGGCCAAAAAGAATTGCTCCGTCAAATTATGAGAAACGAAAGCAAAGTCACCGCGCCCTCAATCTGCGAGTGCGACAATTTGTGAGGTGTATGCCACTAATATTTTTTGGTATTGCAGCTTTAGCGATGGTGGCTTCAAATGGGGCTATATAACACTACAAGGCCTGCTCATAGTTTTATGCAGCTATATTTGCGATTGGCTCTAGAGGACCCTTTGATATGCCGTTTATATGGCAGGAACACCTTCCAAAACAGTGCAGAACATTAGCTTTCACTTCTTTAGATCTGAACTTCTTGAAGCAGACTCCAACCAGCGTCAAGAAAGACGTGGCCTTAGCAAATGCATTGCGCACAGTGATGGCTTCTTTGACTGTCTTACACTCAAGACTGACCTAAAAGAGTGCAATTATTCAAAAATCGCGATTTCTTATGTCGAAGTTATAGCCACGTAAACTTCCCTACAAAGCGTTTTCTGCAACTTCGGTAAGATCCTTGGAAACTAGAAGACTTCCTCTACAATTTCAAATATAGCAACCCCTATCATCCCTCTGCCACTCTCTTAAAACATGACACCAATATCAAAGGCGCAAAAAGCGAAAAAACTTTCCGAATGACCTAATAAATCCCGCATGTCCCGCAATTTTGGACAAATTCTACCGCTACAACTGTAATTTCTTTAGTTGAAAGCGCCTTTAACGATTCTTAGGAAATGCCCCATACTTATCGCAGCGCTGTGGCTACCGCCAATGTTCTTATAATTAAGCGAACTATTTTGTATGCATACAATGCTTTTTTACTTGAGTTCGTTGGCCTCGCCGAGTATTTGAATTGTAACGGGTTACGTTGTGCACACTTGGATACGACCAATTCGGCTTATTCAATGTGTGAGTAAATATGTTTAACGAAATTAGGTAATGTTGATGAATGATCTCCATCCAATTTTTTGCCGTGACAAAAAACACTCGAAATGGAAGATCCAGCAGTTACATAGTTTCACTGTATGAAAAATCATGTGTACATATTTGCTTGGATTAGCAAGAAGGCTCGTGATAAAATCCGTTTCATTCGAACGATTCTTCCACCACATATTGACTTATCTCTATAGAATTTTTTAGCCAGAGGGGCATTTTACTCCCCAGATACTATGCGTGCTGTGCCGACTTTGTCGGCACCTTCCTTGTAACCATATCATTACTTCTGCCTGAGCACCGTAAAGGTCATGTCATAAGCATGACCTGCTGTGATACGAGTATGCTATTGCCCAGTTGTTTGTGATGTTACTTTGACACGCCTATCATACTCAGCATTCTACCACTGCACTAATACGTGCACGTCGTCTGTTCATAGCGCATCAGCCAGATACGAAGGCCGACACAGTGCTTCGCTACAACAGCAGCACAAAGGGACAACTCATAATGAAGCTGTTAACCAGCCTCTACAAACAAATTAGAAGCAAACCAAGAACCTCACGGAAGTACTGCAAAGTACGCGTGCAGCGGTAAGAAGACAATACTTCCAGATGACGACGATCTACGGCGAAGGATATGCGCCTACAATCTGCGCCAATATGCGCGAATTCACAGAGCAGTCGATGTCGCCGCACAGTCACTACAAATGAGGACTGATGTGCTAGAGAAACTTCACCAAAGCGAGGAATCCATCGCCGTAAGGAAAGTGATGACAGTGGAAATGGAGGAGCTCGATAAAGAGATAAGATTTTATAAAACCATTGATGATACTAAAATGTTTGTCTTCGACTACAATGCCGCAGAATTTGAGATGGAGATGGAATACATAGAACGCAGAAAGAGTTTTCCCTCAATAGGATGTGAAAGTAGCTATGAGCAACTGCCCAGAGATCAGTCGAACAACAGTTCACCAAAACCAGGCGATTCTATTTTAATCGATAAGCCAACGATGAACGAGGAAAAGTTTCAAAACGAAAACGAAAACAAAGAAGAGACTAACACTGAATACAAAGCAGCCGTTTTAAACCTCAGTGAGGATAGCTTCGATATGCGACAGAAGCAGAAGCGAGAAATCCATCGCAGATAAAGTCAGAGGAAACAAAAAGGAAGCAAAACGTCGAGTAATACTGATGATCAATACAATAACAAGATCCTCTCTGCTCATAACGAGGCGCCTCTGTAGGTCACAACGCTTCCGGCAACCATTGAAGACAAGACAGCTGTCTCCAATGACGTTCCAGCTCCAGTTCCAAGCAAGATCATTTTGCCCAACGAGAATATCTTGGAACTCGAGTTTTTATCACCGTGCCATTCTGAATGTATTAATCACAGCAATTTCATCGCCTGCTCATTCCAACCATCTGGCTCCTGTCGTCGCTTCGTCCACTCACATTTCGCGGATTTCAGCACAGTCAAAAAAGGTGCGCATCGCTCATGGACGCCCATTACGATATCCTGACAAAAACTGCATTTATATACTTGCTCACTTGCATTGTGTATGTTTATGTGCTTCTCACGCTGTCTCTCATTCATTCCTCGCTGGCCGGAGTGTGCCGACTTTGTCGGCACCTTCCTTGCAACCATATCATTACTTCTGCCTGTTCACCGTAAAGGTCATGCCATAAGCATGACCTGCTGTGATTTGAATATGCTATTGCCCAGATGTTTGTGATGTTACTTTGACACGCCATACTCAGCATTCTACCACTGCACTAATACGTGCACGTCGTTGTTCATAAAGCTTCAACAACTAATGTGTTCTGTATAACACACATCAAGAGTCGCTTCTTCGCCTCAGGCTACTGTAAAGCCTACTAACCATCGCAACAAGCGCAAATTCAGAAACATCAAACTTGTTAAATCTGATGTTCCTTCAAGATTTTCAAAAGCGGAAGTTTCTAGACCATGGGTGGCAAACTTTAAAGTCTGTTCAGATGTATCCACAGTTTCAATCAGGGCCCGGCACGAGTCGGTTTCTAGGGTTTCTGAAAACGAAGTCTCCCCTGACTTTCGAAAGTTTTACGAAGTCCCCTTCGACCTACCTGCTTAGGAGAAGATGAAAGCAAGGAAGATTCACTAGTCTGAAAGAAAAGGCAAAGATAAGAGTGAAAATCCAGTTGGAGCTGAGTACTACCCATGCATAAGACTTTGGCATTAGAGCGCGATATTTAACGAAGCTAGAAGAAATGAAGGCAAAAAACAAAGGAATGGCAATGATATGAAAATGTCTTCATGCTCAGGGATAGATTCTTGACCGGGGAATCCGTCCATGCTAAAAAGATCCGAAACTTATGTGAAGTGACGGAAATATATGCTCCAGACGATCTCAGATCGTCTGGTGGCAGTCTGGAGACGATCTAATTTTGGAAAAGGTGTTACTTCACATAATTTTTCAAAACTTTTTACATAATTCTTTTGCAAATAATTTTCGATGTATACAGTTTAGTTTTGGTGTCATATGATTTTGTGTGCGCTGTAAACAAGCAATTTTTCTATTTTAGCCTTGCTTTCAAATCGCGCGCACTTTTCGCCATACACGATAGAGCATGTCAATCGTGTGATAACCTGTCCGAAAAGCTTGTGTTCGACTAAATGGCGCTTATTCTTGGTGCTCGGCCCCGACTCGGCAAAAACGATATCCCCTTTGCTGTTTGCTTCAAAAACGAAGTCCAGCCCGCTTCCAGACGATCTGTGCCGGACCCTGGTTTCAATATCAAGAAGAAGATAAGGTAATCTCTTTTTTGATTTTGAATCTCGATTAGCGCAACGATTGAATCCTTCGTGACTTCTTCACAATGAAGTAATTCTTCAACTTGATTTGGCACGAACTTTTCGGTCTCACATTAAACCCTGGAAGCAATGAGAAACCAAAAGGCAGGAGACGAATTTGAGCAGTGTATCAAATGTAAACACTTTTACTTTTCTCTGCATCCCTTAATTTTGTAAAAAACTGTTCCAGTAGCGTTCAAAGCTCAACAGCTGATCTTCTTGAAGAGTTTTATCAAAAAGCTTCGAATATTCTTTGGATTTAACGCGCTAATCCGATAAAGTCTTAGCTGAATGTTTAGAAAAAAGTGTGCAGCGTGCCCGTATGTAAGAAGTTGTACAGACCAAGAGGCAAACATGCGCACACTTTGCCTCGTTCTCCTCCTTATTTCAACTCTTCTGGTAACGGATACCGTTACATTGGAGATGTAGGTCATTTAAACCTTAACCTTACTCGCGTTTACCATACTGAACTTCTAGTCAAAGAGACAAACGCCAAGTACCTCAACCAGTACCCACAATAGCCCCACCAGTATCCCAACCCCGTGGACCTATAATTGGAGGACAAGCTGGCGTGTGCTCAGATCTAAGACGTTCGGATAAAAATTTGTGCAAGGCAAGCTAGTGAATCAGAAATTTGCAGGTCCAACTCCACTCATCGGAGGCCAAGCTGGCGTAAGACCAGAATTGAGACGTTCGCAGTGAGCTCCTACAGTGAGAAGTGGTGCTGACCACTCAGCATTGAAGAACAACCCAAACTAGTTTGCGAAATAGAATCTAATTTATGTGATTTGTAACACCTTTCACTTGTGTGCTTTGTCCCAAAAAATATTTCTGAAGTATTATGAATCAAAGCACAACGACGGATAAAGTTTTCAGCAAATAACTAGTTGTGTGATTGATGACACCTATAAACTTTCGTTCACATGTTTATGCTTTATGCCCACATTTAAGTCAATTATTTTCAATTTTTAGTAAAACAGACCAAAAACAATATCAAACAGTATCAGGACACTCCCCATGGGGTTATCAGTAAAGTCTTTAGGAGAAGCATAAACCTATAGAGCAGACTTGCTTACCGGTTCCAGTGATGCATGAGATGAAAACTGTAATGAAAGAAATCGTTAGAAATTTGCAGATGCAGAATTGTAATGAAAGATGGCACACCAATTAAGGATGAAAATTTCAAAAAAGCCCCATAATTTTATCTCAAACGAAAAACAAGGAAAAAACGCCGTTTTCACCAGGAATGACTGAGTTTAAGTACTAAGCCGTCTCAAAAGTCCTGTCGTTTCATTTTTGAAAATTTCCAATTTTACTATCTCAATGCATTTACCTCTTTGCAAATCCATCGGACAAAAGATGTATTCTTCTTTGTAACTGGACCTTGATGAGCTTCTACCATACACTCACTACGGAGATTAATATGGAAAAGACCGTTGAAGTTTTAATTATTTTGTTTCAGATCGCCGAAACTGGAACGTTGCAGAAGAACTAAAATCACAAGTACACTGTTTTTATGACCTATTCTTTGCAACCGAAAAAGGCTTGTGCTGTTTGGATGTTGTCGCGAAAAGTTGTGAATTTTGCGTTTACAACAGGAAACGCCAAAATTGATTAATTTGTCATTTTTGGAAGTCGTAACTTTCACAGAAACGTCCAAACACCACAAACTTTTTTTTTCGGGTAAAAAGTAGGTCACAGAACCTATGCACCGACGGTTTCAGATTTTTCTGCATTGTTGACAAAATCCTGAACGGTCTTCTTTTTTCGTTGTTATCTTTGCGGTGGTGGAAAATTATCAAAGCTCCAAAAGAGGATGACTTTTTTTGTTGAGATTACAAAGAAGCCAATCCGTTGAGGTGGCGAAAAGCTATAGTATTTCATCAAACGAAGAACTTTCGATATAACCTAGCATTATCGAATACCGACGCTGCTTAAAACACTAAATGCATAAAGAAAAGTTGATGAAGTTTTGAAAGAAACCTCTAAGGCTCACAGCAAAGTGAGCAAATAATCGCTTGAAGTGGAGTTTCATAACTCAAAAAATGGCTGCAAACATCTTTAAAACACGAGCTTAGACTGAAGTGAGCGGAGGAGAGTACCACTGAAGTTACCGATCAAAACTCACTATGTTTGTTCTGACTTCTTCGTACATAATGCTTCAACAGGTTAGCGACTTACAGGTAATCTTTGTAAATTCTTCAGTTTTAATTTTGGACCTTCCTTTGACCATCACTTATTGCAAGCAATTTCAAAATGTACAACAAAACTATGTACGAGTCTTGAATGATAATCTCGTTCGTTAAGCTCCGTCGAAAAAAGTCTACATTTTACATTCGCCTAGTTTTGCAAGGAGATACTGAAATATTGTTGAAGATTCAAAGATACGCAACAAAATGCAACATTCGTTACTGGTTTCCCGGTTGTTCAGTAGAACATGATTTAGTAACCTCTACATAACATAGTACTATTTTTCTTGAAAGAAAACCTGTTTTACGCTCAAAGATATTTGCGCTTGACGGTTGTCATGGAGTCTGTTTTACAGCAGTCGGATCTGCGAATACGTCTTGAAATAAAGTGACATTCCGTTTCAGAAGAGAAATGAGCTACGCGTCAGTATATAACAGTGCGTCTCGACTCTAAGACAGACATGTCCAAAATTGTCTTTGTTCTCCTACTGTTTGCAATTCTGATAGCTGATAATTCAGCAAGAGAGATGTAAGTTTCTAACACTTATTTTGACTTAAACTGTATTTATACCTTGGCATTGTGTACGACTGCTATGATTTTCTAAGCTATAAAAGGTCTTTTCAATGGAAAATGACTATACTCAGGCATCGGAGGCGTTGACATACAATCCCGCTTGCATATCTCTGAAAAAACGACGCACAGTCGCCCGATTCATGTGACATCACCGTAGCGTGGCCATATCTCGCTTTAGGGGGGACAGATTCTTGAACCAAGGCGCCATTCGACTCGGCTCGGCGCGGCTCTTGCTCTTTTAGACACAATAGGAAGCTAGACGAATCGCTTCAGATTTTTTACGGTAGGAAATTCAGTGCTTACTCATTGCACTCATTGGGCAACTTACCGTTAGCAAAAATCTGAAAAATTCGTGGAATCTGGCCTCCTACTGTGTCCAAACAGGCAATTCTATATAACAGAAGTGCGCCGCGCCGAGCTGAGTCGAATGGTGCCCTTGGATCAAGAATTTGCCCACTTTGAAGCAAGATATGGCCACGCTACTTTGATGTTACATGAATCGGGCGACTATACGTCGTTTCATAAAGTACCGATTTGTATAAGGTCCAAAAGGAACAGTATCGCCATATTTTGTGCAGAAAAAGAACGCGACGAGCTAGCCAGGTGACATTAGCGCCGCAACGCTACATTTCTTTTCGGAGTGTACAAATTCTGAATCAAGGTCATCGTTCAACTCAAACCAGTCCAACTCAGCTCACCTCGCAGTATGTAATGTATAGAAGGATCTATTTAATTACGGTAGGTTTATGACAGCTAGTTAGTCTCCACGAATCCTTTCATATTTTTGCTTGCAGTAACAAGCAACATACGGAAGCAGCACAGTGAGCCTACTGCAGTAAAGAGCTTTTTATAGAGTGTCCCAAAAATAGGTGAACATCTTTTATTCATTGATATCCCTCTACCAATAAAGCCTTTTGCTTACAAGGGAGGTGTTTTCGGTCGAAGTGGCCTTTTCAAATGAAATTGATACGCATATAAAGAGCATCAAACGCTGATTCCAAATCTGTCTTCGTTATCTGCCGAGCGCCTCTAGAAGTCGAGTTATGAATATTTTCTTGGTGCGAAAAATGAACGCATAATCAAGTAAAATAAAATTTTACGGTCTTCTCAGCGCTCAAATAGAGCAGTGTTAAGTATGAGTGCTTTGGATAAAAAGTATTGTTCAAATAAAGTGCTTTGATAATCAACATTGGACCATTTGAGCAATTCTGACGAATATTGTCCTAATTATGCATGTAATTTCTCAACTCAAAAAACGCTCATAACTCGACGTCTAGAGGCGCTCGGCAGATAACGAAGACAGATTTGGAATCAGCGTTTGATGCTCTTTATAGTCGTATCAATTTCATTTGAAAAGGCCACTTCGACCGAAAACACCTCCCTTGTTAGCTGCAGGTACCATTTTGTGAATCTAGTATCGACTTACAAAGTAGCCATGTTTAATCGAAGTGGACTTTCTGGATGGGGTGTATACGCTGGACAGCATATAACGCTGATTCCAAATTTGCCTTCCTTATCTGCGGAACGTTTATGAACGAGAGTTATATTCACCGGGGCAAAAATTACATGGAATAAGACAAATTGCCGTTATATTTTTGCAAGCGCTTTGCTAACGGAGCAGTGAGGATTATCAGAACACTTAATTCGACAAACACTCTCAGATAATAAAATATTAGATGGGTCCTAAAGTTCGTGCTGCTTCTCAAACCTATTCAGGAATCATGCAAGGGCACCTAGGAGTAGGAAAGAGCAGCATTCTGTAGTAAGCCAACAGTCTGCAGTTGAGAAGGTAGCCTTTTGCATTCCCTTTATCTCCGATGAAGTAAGCACCGCATTGCAACGGTGCCTGAGGAGAGCAGGGCTACAAAATTCAGTCACGATTGTAGAATTGCCTCCGAGCAATTTGAAGAGCTTGTTGATTCGCAGTCGTCTTACGACCGCTCCTGCGTCACGCCAAATTGCATTATACACCCTCAGGGCAGAGGCGGGGATTGCATGGTCACCGGGGTCATTTACATGATCTCTTGCGACGACTGCGGCGAGGAATACATAGATGAGACGGCGCGCCCGCTGTATGTTCGCATCAAGGAACACTTGGATGGCAGGGATAAATGGCGCACGTCCACTCCTCTGGCACTCACCGGGTTCAGAAACATGGGACAAATTTCGGAGTTTCGGTGAAAATCCTGGCATACGAATCCCAAACTTCAGCTCGCAAATGCTTGGAAGCTTTTTGAATTCACGCGAAAACCCAAAAATGAATCGCAAAGAGAAATGTCTAACGATCACGTGTGAACTTGCGCCCTACCTCGATTAGCTCTTCTGACCTAATTTTGTGCTATAAATAGTGGTCCCCTTATGCGGTCAGTCATTCATCTTGCTCTTGCATCAATTTCGTCGACGTAACTCAAAAGAGTGTTTGGCTATCGGCTATCAGCTGAGCTAGTCTAAAATCTTGACACTTTGTTCACATTGCTGCAGAGACGTTGTCGAATGGACTGCAGATCGTATTACCCATTTCAGGCTCTGAAGGAGGCGACCGAAACGTTAGCCGATAAAGTATTGTAGGAATCTCGGTCACGGCTCACAAACAACACACAATATAATACCATCATGCCGAGAGTCGTACATTCCATGTTCAGGAATCGTTCAGAATGATGAAAGACAAATCGTTTACAAAGTATCCGATGCAGAATTTCGTCCTCTTTCCAGCAGCTATGCTTACGTTGTGACTGTTTTGACGAGCGCTGAGATAATTGCCAAGAACTAGAACCCTTTAGTTTTACTATGCTGATTTCGCTAATTTTCGAAATTTTCGTTTTAGAATTTTGGAGGTGCTCTTATAACCACCTGATAAGGCATTTTTCAAATCAATGCAATTTTTTGCATTTTTCAGCTCCCTCTTTAGAAATTTGCTGAATTATTTTACTGAGCATTGAATTTGAAAAAACCGCGTAGCACATATTGCATCAAACACTGCGAACTCCTCAAAATATTGAAGTTATAAAAGTAGGTTATTACCATCACTTTAGTACTACGAAGTAAATGAGCGATCGCGGCGCGAAAATGGATAGATTTCGGAATTTCGACTACAACTTTGCACAGCAGTAAAATTGGGAAGTACAGCGATTTTTTCTGCCAAATTGGCACGTTTCGCGAAGAAAAGGTAGCTGTCAGAAAGAGGAGCAAAAGATGCATTGAATGGTACCTAAACTGTTCAACGTCTGATGTTTTGCGAAGTTAGAATAAGCCAAATATAAAATTTGGTCACTTTAGAAAATATATTCTAATAAATCTAGAGAGCATACCAGAGAGATGCAAAAAATTGCGTTAATTTGAAAAAGGCTTGTCTTATCAGGTGGATGATGAAGCACCTCCAGATGTCCTAAATGAAAAAATTCTGAAAATTAGCGAAAGTTAGACAAGGTAAAAATGAAGGGTTTTAGTTTTCGGCAATTATCTCAGCGCTCGTCGAAACAGTCACAACGAAAACAGATACACTGGAAAAAGGAAGAAATTGTGCATCAGATGGTATTTGAACGACTTATCTACCTTCATTTTGAACGACTAGAGTAGGTCTAAAAAACAGCACGAACTCTCGACCCACCTAATATACATATATGTCACACTTGGTTACTTTACTTAAAGCAGCAGCTCGCCAAAATCGAACATTCCGAAATTTTGACATTAAAGGTTGCTTGGACCCCATACATGAGAAGAGCATGTCCGAGCGCACAGCATGCTGCCCTTGGCTAGAAAACTGCCCCTAAATCCGTTACGCGCAAGCCATTCTGATACGCGCGGACGAGCTTGCGATTCTCCCCGATCCGTCAGAGGAAGCATGCCGCAATGTTATGACTGCGGAATCCCGCAATAATTGTGCCTCCCTAATCATGGCGGACGTGCTCCACTCGTCCAAAATTAAAATAAAATGGGATGCCTTGAGATATGGTGGTTTTCGCCATTTTCGCGCTCTTCAAGGTGGATTTTTGGAATCAGCACCTCAAATTACCCCAAAGCAAAAGAAAACTTTAAGTCGAAAATCTGCCGAGCGGCTACCTTTAAGGGCGAGATTTTAAGACTCGTTTTATCCAAGTTTTTCTTTTTCGCTTCGATAAATGCTCATAACTTCTGGGCGCAAACGCTCGCAGATTTGTAACCAGCTTTTTACTCAGGGATGGTGTACATCCCATCTAAATAGGCCACTTCGACTAAACACGCTTCCCATGTTTGATTTACCCTCCAATGCGTATCAACGACCTCTCGATTACTCAAACTTACGCTTTTAATTTCCAGCACACAAGGTCACTGTGAGATAGACTGAATTATTTTGTAAAAGATGGAAAATGTGAAAAGTTGTGTAGCAGTGTCTTTTGAACAAGCTACTTCAAAGTACGACTTTCACATAATCAGCGACTCACTACAGCCTAACGATAAAGTTTTCAGCTCGTTAAGTATAAATCTTGGGGCAGAAAACCGTTGATGACTTAGAACGTCCTTCAAAGTTCATACTGTAATCCACAATGAAGAACGATGGCTGATTCGCCTTATACTGTGAATCAAAGTTAAGGCTACTCTAATGAATGCTTGGAGTTAAGCGAAGGACCTTGTGAGGAGAGTTACAAACAACTGAAAATTGAGTACATACTTTTGGAACAGCCTGTTTAATATTAAGTTGCACCGAAAGTTCTGTCGCACGAATTTCCAGAAATCATAACTTGCTATATCAAGATTTCAGAACGGGTTTCGTTTTTTTTCTCTAATAGAAAATCATCCTCTTTGCGAGCATTACTTGCAAGGGAAGGGTACTTGGTCGAAGTGACGTTTCCATATGAACTGTATACTATCTTATAGAGCATAAAACGCTGATTCCAAATCTTCTCTCCTTATCTGCAAAGCGTTTCTGGAAGTGGACTGGAAATTTTTTGAGGTAAAAATTCAATGAATTAGCTGTA